CATATCGTCTTCAGGGAGGATTTAACTTTCTTTTACCACATCTGAGACCCACTTCTAGCACCAGCCTCTCAGTATCATACAGTTATATTAAATTTTTGGTTGGGTCAGTATCCAGGGCTTACATTATTATTATTACTATGTACTCACATATAATTTATTATGATTACATTTTCTTGAACTTTTTGTTTTTCTTGAACCAGAGCCTTCTTTCCATGATTTTCTTTGCCTTGAATCTATCATTAAGTCTTCCCACAAATTCTCTGAAGGGGAAATTCCTCTCAGTATTGAAACACATCGGTTCCTTTTCTTGTTAAAGAGATTTCTCAGATGATCTCTGTCATTCCTGATTTTTTGGTTCTATCAGTTGAGGAGAGAGGGATGTTAATTAAAATCTCCAACTATGATCGTACAATTATTTACTTCTGTCATTCTGCTTCATGTATTTTGAAGTTCTGTTATTACATATGTAAACAATAAACCATCATGATTGCTATGCCTTCCTTTTTTTTTTTTAAAGATTTTATTTATTTATTCATGAGAGACACAGATTGAGAGAGAGGCAGAGACACAGGCAGAGGGAGAAGCAGGCTCCATGCAGGGAGCCCGACGTGGGACTGGACCCCGGGTTTCCAGGATCACGCCCTGGGCTGAAGGCGGCGCTAAACTGCTGGGCCACCAGGGCTGCCCTGCTATGTCTTCTTAGTGAAGGGACTGTTATTATTATAGAATGAGCCTCTTTATTTTTAATAATACTCATTATTTTGAAGTCTATTTTACCTGTTATTCATGAAATCACTTCTCACTTCTCACACCTTTTTTTCTCCATTAGTTTTCACCTTATCTGAGTCTTTATATTTAAAGACTTGTTTTATATTATATTATATTATATTATATTATATTATATTATATTATATTATATTATATTATAGACTGTTTCTTACAGGCAATGTACCGTTGGTCTTGGTTTTTAAAAATCCATTCTTATAATCGCTGCCTTATATTGGAGTTTTTAGTCCATTGACATTTAATGTAGTTATTGATAAGGTATTTAATTAAGCCATTATATTATTTGTCTTCTTTTTATCCCTTCTATTTCTTATTTCTGTGCAATTCCTTTTTTATTCTATTTTGTATTATTTGAATAATTTTAAAATTCCATTTTATCTGTTGACTTCCACTGTACCTCTTAGCATTATTTAACTTTTTTTTAAAAGATTTTTTTTTAAGATTTAACCTTTTTTAAGACCCTGGGATCACACCCTGAGCCAAAAGCTGTCATAAGTATTATGTCATAAGTTTGTCATAAGTATGTCATAAGTATTACCCCTTCATACATTATAAATGCTACAAGATAATGTCACAATTTTTGCCTTAAATAGTCCTATGTATTTTAAAGAAATTAAGAAAAATTTAAAGAAATTAAGAAAAAAACTTATTTGCTTTCAGATATATAATTTTTTATTCTCTACATTCCTTCCTAAAGTTTCAAGTTTCCATCTGATATCATTTTCCATTAGCCTAAATAATGTCTTTAATATTTCTTATTGTGCATGTTTATGTTTATGGTCTCCTAAATTTTTTTAAAAATCTGACAGTATCTATTTTGCTTTTATTCTTAGAAGATATCTTCATCAGATATGAAATTCTAGATTGGCAGTTTTGGTTTTTGCTAGCACTTTAAACATATTGTTGCACTGTCTTCTCACCTCTGGAGATTTTCATGAGAAGTCATTGGTCATTTTAATTACTATTACCCTACATGTAATATGTTGTTTTTCTCTGGTTGATTTTGAGATATCTCTTTATTTTTGCTGATTTGATGACCTAGGTGTGTGTGTGTGTGTGTGTGTGTGTGTGTGTGTGTTTTCTATATCTATCTTGCTTAGGATTAGCTAAGCTTCTTGAACCCATAAACTTATGTTTTTTTTATTAAATTTGGAAAGGTTTTGGTCATTATATCTTTAGTTACTTTTCTGTTACATTCTCTCCACCACAGTTCATGAATCTCTTTTTCTCTCCCTCTTTTTTATATTTATTTCTTCCTCTCTGTTCTTTAGATTGGATTATGTCTATTGATTTGTCTTCAAGTTCTTACATTAAACCACCCAATGATTTTTTCATTTTCTATTTTTATTGTCATTTCTAATTTTTTTCAATTCTAGAATTTCCATTTTGTTCTTTCTAAGTTTCTATTTCTTTGCTGAGATTTTTTTATATTTTATTTATTTATTTTTTACAAACACATTATTGTCTACTCCATTAAGCTTACTTACAACAGCTGTTTTTATAATAGCTGCTGCTAAATCAGGTTTATTTATTAATCCAGTATTTGGATAGTCTCTGGATTGGTGTCCACTAATTGTTCTTTTCCTTAAGGCAAGGCCATATTTTCCTGCTTCTTCATTCGTTGAGTAATCCTCAGTTGTATTCTGGATATTGTGAATGTCTGGGTTTTTTTTTTTTACATTCCTCTGAAAAGTATATATACTTTTGTTTTGCCAGGCAGTAACTTTCATTAAGCTCAAATTATAAACTCTGTCTCAAATTATAGTTTTGTTTCATTTGTTTGTTCATTTTGCTTTTTTGTTTTTTGTTTTTTTTGGGTTTTTTTGGTTGGACAGTGTGCAGTCAGCCCACTGTTGTTGCTGACTCCAGAGTTAGACAGACTCTTGGCCAGAAATTATACACAGAATTTTGGGTTCACCTTTCTGAATCTCTTTTTTCCAAGATTCCTCTTTCACTTTAAGCAGCTGTTTGTCCCAAATTCTATTCTCTGGCTCTTTAAGTCAGAAAGTTTGTGTGTTTCTAATGGAGTTTTAGCTGTTCTGTGGTTCTGCCTTCAACTGGCCCTAAACCTAAAAGCTGTAAATGGGTAACTAACCTTATGCTATTACCTTCATCCAGGTTTTCAATGTCCCCCCAGAATCATCTTGGTTTTGTCTGCTTTCCAGTATTTTTAGGCAGATTTTTTTTTTAATTTTACAGAGTTCGCAGTTTTTATCTATGAAAAGGTCAAATCTGGTAGGAGCTTACTACTCATATGAGAAACAGAAGGACTCTTTGTGGGGATTTTTGCATCCCTTCTTTATCTAGTTGTTCTTTGTCTTTGATATCAAGGGTTTCTGGAAATGTCTGGTCCCTCATCTTTTGTTCCTGTGTGCAAACCATTATTCTCAAAGGATGAGTTTCATTGTAGAGTAATATTAAGCAGGCACTGGCCATTTTGTGGGGGGTAACTTCAAAATATTATTTTTTCCCTTGAGGACATTCCATTTTTCTGGGGAACAGTCTTGCAATTTCTAACCATAGGAGGTCTGCTTGGATGCCTGCAAAGTCAGGTTGAAAAAGAGTCTCAGGATTCAGCATTTAGACATTTAATGAATCCTTCCATTTTTAACTCAGTTGCTTTACAATCTCCCTGGGATCTGTTTCTCCAGAGAGTAAGCCTTTCCAACTTCTATTGGGGTGATGGAGGTAGTTGGCTGTACAGATTGGGGAAGCTAATGTAAGGGTCCAGCCATTCCTTAATCAAACTTTCAACTGATGGTTTTGTTTTCAGCTCTAACTTAGTCCTGAATTCAGAGGATCTGGTAGCTTCAATACCTTGGGCTTTTCTTGTATTAAAATTGGATAATTTCTTGTTCGCTGTGTCCCTTTTGCCCTCTCCAGTCTTGTTGTTGCTTTTTCCATTCTGCTAATTCAGTTACCATCCATCCTACTTGTCGCCGCGTGTCACTAAAATGAAGTCTGTTGTGCCCTCTGTTTATGTACTCCGTGTCCTTTTGTGTTTGTGCTTCTTTCTTTAGTCCTTTACTTTCATTCTTGGTGGTGTTTTTGGAGGACGGTGGCATTTTTGGAGGAAGGTGTTCTCTTCCTTTATTCATAAAGAGCAAATAAATTATAAAGTATCAACATGAGGAGAAAACTTAACTTTTCCAGTTAAACACTAAAAACAGACTTTTCATTGTATGAGGTTAAAATCTTAATCAGCCACAAAAGACAGGATAGCTCTCGCAGGAGAATCAAGTGGAGGGTGGTGGTGCTTATGAATGACTTAGAATCACGGAGTTTCTGAGCCATACGGAACCTGTAGGTTTTATTGGAACGGAAAATTTCACACTTTTTTTTTTAATTTTTATTTATTTATGATAGTCACAGAGAGAGAGAGAGAGAGGCAGAGACATAGGCAGAGGGAGAAGCAGGCTCCATGCACCGGGAGCCCGACGTGGGATTCGATCCCGGGTCTCCAGGATCGTGCCCTGGGCCAAAAGCAGGCGCCAAACCGCTGCGCCACCCAGGGATCCCCCACACTTTTTTTTTTTAGCAGTGGTACTTATTTCTTTTCTTAAATGAAATTTCACTTGTACCTCAATACATAAAACAGAAAAAGTTATGAATCCCCCCCCCCAAGACATTTAGTTTTTCTTTTCTTTTGTAAAGCCACGCTGCTCTTTTCCAAGCGCTTTGGGATTTCCCAGGGTGCAGATGGAACACCATTGCTTTAGTGGTGACATTTTATAGGGCTTTAGCCCGAAGAGTATGCACAACCATCTCTCTGGTGTGAGTGCTTGGAGAATGTTAAGAAGCAACAACAGTGCGAATTAAACTACAATAAATAAACTATACATAAACTGTAACCGGGCACACACTCCGATTGGGGGCACTCACTATGTGATGGGTTTTATACCAGTATCTCACTTAACTCTCACAAGGCCGCTACGGGGAAGGCATGATGGTTATTCCCAGATTGTAGGGGAGGAAACGGGGGCCTGGAGGGACTGGGGCCTTGTTCGTGGATACACAGCTCGGAAGTGGGGGAGCTGGGACCCCAACCCGGTTCTGTCGGGCTCGGGGCCCATCTCCTTCACACCTGACACCAGGCCCAGGGGGAGGGCGGGCGGGCTGTCCCAGGGCTGCCTCCCTCGGTGGCAGAGGCGGCAGGACAGGCCCCCGCCCCCGCCCCCGCCCCAGCCCCAGCCCCGTCTGTCTCCCCTCCCCAGGCAGCCGCAGCTCCCGGACACGCCGCCCTACTCGGCGTCAGACTCCAGCTCTCCTCCCGACGCCAAAGGTGAGCGGCCCCTGCAGCCCCTGCGGCGTCCGCCCCGCGGGTCACGGGTCAGGAGCGGCCCGTCACCCGCCTGTGCCCCCAGGTGCGTGCTGCGCCCCCGCGACGCCCTCGGGCCGGAGGAGCCCCGCCGCGGCCCCGCCTGCGCCGCCCCCCGCGCACCTGCCGCTGAGCGGCTCCGGCCCCCTGCGCCGCGGCCTCCTCACCTGCCTCGCGGACACCTGTCGGCGCCCGGCCCCGCCCGCCCGCGGCGTGTGCGCGCACCTGGGGATCGGCCCCGCCCGCCAGCAGCAGCGCCCCCGCCAGCCGCCCCGGTACTTAGTGAGCACGACGCTCCCAGCGGCCCCAGCCCTCCGGGCCCCCCAGCCCTCGCGGTCCCCCCCCCCGCAGCCCTCGCGGTCCCCCCCCAGCAGCCCTCGCGGTCCCTCCCCCGCAGCCCTCGCGGTCCCCCCCCAGCAGCCCTCGCAGTCCCCCCCTCGCAGCCCTCGCGGTCCCCCCCCCCAGCAGCCCTCGCGGTCCCCCCCCCGCAGCCCTCCCGGGCCCCGCTACCCCCCCAGCCCTCTCCGACCCCCGCAGCCCTCCTGGCCCCCCCGCAGCCCGCAGCCCTCGCGGTGCCCCCGCCGGCCCCGCCCGCTCGGAAGCGCGAGCCCTGGCGGCCTCTCCAGCAGGTGGCGCTGGTGGCGCAGAGATCGGACGCGGCCCGGCGCCGGCCTAGGACCGTCCTTGGGTTCAGACGCCCCGACCCCAAAGCCTCACCCCCACCGTCGGATACAGAGGGGGCCTGAGAGCGGGGCAGACTCCGCGGCTTCCCTGCCTTCCCTGCCGGCGAACATTAACACTCCCCTCCCCTTCCTTCCCCTTCTTTTCTCCTCCCTTCCTCCTTCTAAACCTAAAGAATGGCAAAAAGAGTAAAGGTCCTCAAAAATTGTGCTGAAATTCCACGTGAAGAAAAAATTTCAGGCATAAAATGTGCGCCTGTCGGGCTATACCTTAGGTCCGTATCTTCTCTGCCTCAGTGGGCCCTGCACAAATGTGGTCAGAGCTTATTTTTCAAGTAGCTGAACCTCAGCTCTACAGGATATTGGAAAACTAAGTTTCAGACTAGGAGGGATGCTGAGCTAGGATCTTGTCCTATTGCAGACCAGCAGGGCTCGAGCAGTCGTAACCAACCAGAATTAGTCCTTTTTTAAAAAATGTTTTATTTATTTATTCACGAGAAACGCACAGAGAGAGAGGCAGAGACACAGGCAGAGGGAGAAGCAGGCTCCCTGTGGGGAGCCAGACACAGGACTCAATCCTGTGCCCTGGGGTCACGCCCTGGGCCACAGGCCCAAGGGCTGAGCCCCCCCCCCCGCCCCCCCATGTCCCTAACCAGAATCAGCCTTGAGAAGGCCAGGAGCAGAGACCTGGAATATTGAATCTGATGTGCTGTAACCTGGAGAGCGGAAACTCTTAACCTTCGTTTTGGGTTCTTGATTTTAGAACCTCGTTTCCACCAACCAAGAAGAGAAAGTGCACAGAGGTGCTGGAGGACCCCGGGGACTGCCAGGTGTGGGCCCAGCACCAGGACCCCGGGGACTGCCAGGTGTGGGTCCAGCACGCCCGAGCAGGTGAGCTGACCTGCGGCCTGTCCCCGCGTTCACCCTTCAGCCAGGGGTTAGTCCCCGGGGGTTTCCTCCTCTCCTCCTAACCCCGGTTACCGGTTACCGGAGGTGCTAGGTGGGGTCACGCAGGGGCTCCTGGGGAGAGATGCTGCATTCTCTCCCTCTCCCTCTCTCTGGTGGAGGCCAAATGGCCATCCCCTGGATCTCGGGGCAGTGTGTCTGGGAGGACACAGGCTCCGGGTGGGTGGCAGCGTACAAGGTGGCAGCACGTTCTGTAGCCTGCCGGTGTGCTGTTGCTTGGTGCGTTGCAACCCTTCTCAACTTTAATAGAGATCTTGGTAAAATGCGGTTTTGATTGAACCTGAGATGATGTTGAACCTGCAGCCTGAGGCGGGGTCCGAGATTCTGGGGCCCCGACGAGCTCCCAGGGGCTCCCAGGCCTGCGGGCCCGCGGCAGGTACTCTGAGAAGCCGACTTCGGAGAGTTTCTCCAAAGTGGAGCAGGAACCACTGAGAGACTTGAGTTCCCCTAGGACTCACTTCCAAGTTAGCAGGGTCCAAGTCGATCTTTCAGATTTCGGACCAGTTCTTTGGCCGGAAGATCAAGTCTTCAGCAGAATCATAGGATGCCCAAGGGGTCAGACGACCTTATCTTTGGTCTTATATAACCGATGACGCATCATGTTTTGAGCTTAGAGACCTCTTCAAGTTGTGAACAAATTGGAGTTTTGGAGTCCGAAGCCTTGACCTTTGAGAATACACGCGGCGGCACTTACCAGGCAAAAGGATAAGCCCCCGCGCGTCTTCTATCAGCTGCTGTGAATAATCAGATGCAGGCCCCGTGAATGGGCGCCCAGACTTAGGGTACATCCCTTTTATTCCCATGCATCAGCTTGGCAGGAGGTTACAGACTTCTGTCCTGGAGCTCTCTTTCCTCCTCCTGTCCCCAACTCCAGGGGTTTCTACTACCCTGAAGGGTGATGCAGGTGGCTTCCTCAACTGCTTGAGTTGCTGCCCTTGTCTTTCAAGGCCACAGGATTAGAACCGGTCCCCTGCGCTTGTGCAGCCCACTGTCCTTTCAGGGATGTCTGGCCTGGGCTCCAGCTCCAGCTCCAGCTCCGCCAAGGCCCACAAGGGCCACCCCCCCTCCCCGGGAGTGCTGAGGCACACGCACACTGGGCATCCGGCCCTTGCAAGAACCAGACCTCTCCCTGCCTCCTTTTCTTTCGCATGGATCCAGCCTGGCCAGCAGTTGCTTGGTTTTCCTTTTTCAACCCTTGAGCCACAAAATGCTAATGAAAGTCTCCTTTCTGGATAATTTGGAGCTCACGGTCCACCTTCCTCTGCGAACTTCCTCTGAGTCTCCTCCAGGATCCTTACATCTAGCCTGCAGCTTCTTTGTGATTCTCAAACACAAAAGGCTGAGTAAGTTCCCAGCCAGACGAGGGACCCATCTGTTCGCCTCCCACAGAGGCAGCGGCCCACGGAGAGAACCCAGCAAGCCACCCAAACCTTCCTAGCCTTTCCCCATCAAACCAGATTGCTGCTCAAATCGTCCTGGCCGTTGCAGGGTTCGGCTCCATCCTGCGATGATTTTCTGCTGCCTGCCTCTTGGAGAGGACATTGATTTTTTTTTTTTTTCACCATCTCCAGAGAAAGTCATGGAAGAGGATCCAAAATGTCTCAACAGATAGGAAATTTTGAATTCCTTGTTTCGGTCCTTATTCAAACAGAGGTCACTGAAAAGCCCATGAAAGATCATTGCCTCTAGACAATGGTTCCAGAATGTAAATGAACAGGTTCCTGGTGTGGGGGTGGAAGGAGGCAAAAATCCAAATGCTGTGTTTTCATCACAGTTTACATTTTCTGCCGAAGTCTTCTAGTAGAGAACTCCTATTTGTTGTGGCCAAGGGCAAGGGTTTTTACAAGGACAGGAGAGCAGGAAGGAGGAGCTCATGCTAGTTTTTATTGGGCAGGGATTTCGGTGGGAGGAGATGTTCTAAATCAATCGATAAGGCTTTTCTGGTGACCTTCGCCCAAGCAGTTCACTTTGTCCAAGGGTTCCAAGAGTCCCATTTATAGGCTCACAATGTGGACTCACTGGGTTGCTGTGGGCAGATGTAACATCTTGCTTAGAGAGAAAATAGCTGGTGGGCAGGCTCCTTCTAGCGGTTTCCAGCCCCACATGGTCTAGACCCCATATATGAGAGGGTTCCTGCTTCCCTCTGATCCGAACCCCAATTATAAGAGAGTTCATGGACTCATACGGTTTGAACCTCAAATATGAAAGGGTTTTTCAGCCCCAGAGTGGTGGCCTTTGGCCTCCAGGAGAGGTGCACTGGCTGAATTCACACTTTGGAATCAGAAAAAGTATCTGCTCATCTCCTCAGCAGCTGGGGACTTTCTGAGACTGACTCTTTTTTTTTTTTTTTTTTTTTTTTTTAGGATTTATTTATTTGGGAGAAATTGAGAGAGTGAGCACACTCAAGTGAAAGCGGGGTGGGGCTTGGGCAGAAGGAAGAGGGAGAGGGACAAGCAGAAGCCTCCTCATTGAGGGGCTGGATCTCAGGACCCTGAGGTCACCGCCTGAGCTGAAACCAAGAGTCAGCCACTTAATGAACTGAGCCACCCAGGTGCCCCAAGACTGACTTTTCTTGATTGTCAAATGAGGATCATAATTTCTATTTCACCCATTTCTAAGATTCTCTTAAAAGTAATGTGTAAAAGAACATTTTTGAAAGACATTAAAAATGCAAGCTATGAGTTTTTCCAACAGGTGGGGACTTGGGCAGTTTGCTGCCTTCACACTTCTATTCCTCTTCTGCTACGTGTTCTCAAGAAATCCTCTGTGTAGCATGAAGGGAAGAGGATGGCTTGAATCCCATCTCTTCCGCTTAGCAGCCGTGACACCGGGAAAGTTATTTCAGGTGTTTGAACCCCAGTTTCCACATTTGTTAAATGACACGAGGAATCCTGACCTCCTAACCACTCGGTAAATCAGTTTGGCTGCATGGACTAATGCATATCCTATGTCCCCGTCATTCCACTGCTAGGAATATGTCTTCCAGAAATATGCAGGTACACCCACTAAGAGACACACAAAAATATCCATAGCAGCATTACTTATAATATCCACGAACTGAAAATAACCCAAATGGCCATCAAAGGCAGGAGAAGGGACGCCTGGGGGGCTCAGTGGTTGAGCATCTGCCTTCGGCTCAGGGCGTGACCCTGGGGTCCCGGGATCAAGTCCCGTATGGGGCTCCCCGCAGGAAGCCTGCTTCTCCCTCTGCCTGTGTCTCTGCCTCTCAGGAATAAATAAATACAATCTTAAAAAAAAAAAAGGGCAGGATAAATTGTGGTACATTCCTCCAGTAATAGAGATGAACAAATGACTGCCATTTGCAACAATGAGTGAATCCCGTAAACACAATATTGGGCAAAAGAAGCCAACACGTAAGAGTATGTATCATAGGATTCCATTTCTATAAACTCCTCTATGGCATTAGATTTCAAAATAGTCATTTGTCTTGGGCAGGAGGAAGTATAGCTGGAAGAGGGCACGAGAGTGTCTTCTAGAGGGCTGGACATGTCCTATTTCTTGGCCCAACGCTAGTTACCCAGTATAATTCACTTTATTAGGAAGCATCAAATTGCATACTAATGATCTTGCATAATAATGCATTCTTTTTTTATGTATATTGTACTTAGTCAAGAAAGCTTATTGAAAAAACAAAAAGGTATCCTTACCTTACAGAGTTGAAGAGAAGCTATGCCAAGTGTGTGGGTGCGCTTGGGGACAGCGGTGGTGGAGACAGCACACGGGAGTAGTAGACGTTCTTATTAGTGTAAACAGTGATAGGTCCCAGCATTGGGCTCAGGCCTTTTTTTTTTTTTTTAAGATTTTATTTATTTATTGAGAGAGACACACACAGAGAGAGAGACGGAGACAAAAGCAAGCTCCCTGTAAGGGGCCGGATGTGGGACTCGATCCGGATCCTGGGATCATACCCCGAGCTGAAGGCAGATGCTTAACCACCGAGCCACCCAGTCTCAGGCTTTTGCCTTGAAGTTCAGTGTGGCCTGGGGCCCGGGGTCTCACCGGCGGACATCCAGCTCCTCCTGGCTGTGTCGGTCCCGTGGGAGTGGTGCCCCATACCTTTGCTGTTGTAATGAGAAAAAGCAGGAAAGGCCCGATCCTTGACCTTGCCACCACGAGTGAGTGGGGAAGGGCCCGAGTTAGTGATCGTCACTCAGGCACTCGGTGTGAGTTATTCCACCTCCGACTGAGTTCTCACGAAGGCCAAGAGCAGAAGTATTGGCCAAGGCTTCTTAGAAACAGCCGAGGCACCTGAGCTGAAGCAAGGCCACGTGATGATGATGACAGTGCCACTGGTAAGAAGTCAAAGTGCCACCGTTTAGGCCCTTACTGGGGATAGACAGGCGCTGAGCATGGATGGACGTAACCTGTTGAATCCCTTCAGCAGCCCCGGGAGGCTGTTACTCTCGTTTTGTAGATGAAGAACCTGAAGCCTAGAGACCTGAAACCATTTGCCTGGATTGTACAGCTAGTGAGTGTGGAGTTGTGACTCAGGCCCAGGCCCGTCAGATTCCAGACTCCAAGCTCTTGAACTTCTTTTAGCCTCTTTTTCCGCTGGAGGACAGAGGAAGAAAAGATGGGAGGATAGTGTCTTCCTTTCTCGGGACTTTGTCTAAGCAGGAGAACCCTGGAAGGTGTTTGTGTGTGTGTATGTGTATGTGTGTGTGTGTTTTGAAAAGTTTTTAGGTCTGGTAACTTTTGGAGGAGTGACAGCCTGAAGGAGTGACAAGGTCCTTGCGCTGCTGACCTTCTACAGTCCAAGCCAGGAAAACGGTTTTCATGATTTTGCAAAATCTTTTCAAAATGGTTGTTTACAAAAACTGAAAAAAAAAAAAGTTGTTTTCCTTAGGTGACATGTAATAGAGAGATACCCCCATAAGCCTATTTTCTACGACATTTGAGACCAAAGACAACCTGCAACAGCTGTGTTACTTATTCATTTGAGGAAGTCCTCAGTGCAAGTGTAAAGAAAGGAAGTTGGGAGGGCGAAAGCCAACCCAGCATTTACCAACCCGTGGGCTCAGGGCACGCTCCACAGGAACTCATGTCACACTTCTGTGTTGGTGCTTACAGCCTGCACCTGAGCTTACGAACACCCACTATTTCCCTCTCACTCCTGAAGTCAGGCATGAGTGATTGGAGGGGGATTAAAAGAGAAACAGAAAACATACCAATAGAATTTACACCAAGATTATCCAAGGGTGAATCACACGGTCTGGAGGCATACTCAAATTAAGACAATTTGCAAGGATTATGCAAAAATAGTAGTTTGCGCCTGTGAAATTGCTGTTATTTTAACATACGAAAATAGCAATTTCCTATTGTCAATACTACATACTTTCGACCCTTTCTGTCACTTTATCTTGGCTTTAGCTTCTGGAAGCGCTTTCACTTGTACTATGATAGTCTCTCTGCTTGTATAACGTTGCAAGATGGGCAAGACATCTGCTTTAATTTCTGTTTTTGCTGTTGAGGGAAGTAAGACCCTAAGTGAATAAATAGCTCATCTAAGTTCAGAAAGCTAGTGCCACAAGGGACCTGTAACGGATTAGATGTAGTGGTTGCAATGAACAAAAACAAAGAAACAAAGGTCAAAAACCTCAAAGTGCCTTAAGCAAAAAAACAAACAAAAAACAAAACTGGAGGATTCCTTGGCTCCTGTAACCCAAGAGTTTAGAATTGGATCCCAGAACTCCAATCACGACATCAGAACTGGGTGCCCTTCATTCTCAACCCTGCCTTCTGCTGTGTGGGCGACGGTCCCAGACAGGCTTTTCCTTCACATACCAAAATGGTGCCAGCAGCTCTTGGGGCTGTGATCTCATGGGTTTAAAGCTCATAGCAGAGTCAGCATCTTGGAACCCGTGTCCCCTGAAGGGCTGAGGTCCACTCTGCTTGGATTGGCTTGGGCCATGAGTCTACCTGACGCAGTTATCCATGCAAGTAGTGAATGCTGTGCTTTAACTGGTCCAGCCTGGGCCCTCGTACCCTCCTCCGGCTGGGAGTGGACTCCACTGGAACCACGTTGACTGGAAGAGGGGAGATGCTGTGCAGGAAGTAGAGTAGATAGATACTGAGGGCAGAGTTTCCACCAAGTACTCATGATGGCATCATAGAGATCACTGACCTCAAACTGCTCTTGTTACAGATGAGGAAACAAGGCTAACCACATGTCTCCTGCCTCCCAACACTTGTCACTTTCCACATGGTCACTCTTCCTCATACGCGGCCAGTTCATTTGCTCCATGCAACTGTCTGTGAGTCCAGGAGAAACAGCCTTGGAAGAAGGATCTAACACTGATTTCTTTTTTTTTTTTTTATTTTTTTTTTTTAACACCGATTTCTTTGCAGTGACAAGTAGGAGTCACAGCAGTGAAGTGCAAGACTACGACAGTGAGGGGCTGAACGTGGTGCCTGTGGACCAGTGTTCTCCTACTCTGAAGTGGCAACCATACCAAAGTGTTCCTTGGCACAGTTTATTAAATGGTCATTATGAAAAACTGTAAGTGGCCCAGGACCCCCTGGTGGCGTACTGGAGAGTGAGGAAGAAAGGCAGTGCTAACTCTCAAGACTAAATCCAAATATTTGGGCTTTGATGCCACCCCTGATCAAATAGAAGGGGGTCAATGAGAAAGTGTGTCTTACTCCTTATGTTTTGCAGTCCAGCTAATGAGTAGCTGGGACATGGGCTTCCGGCTTTTTGGAATCCACATTATAATCCCAACTCATTATAATTTACCCACTAAATGATGGAGGGAGAGCGAATCTTTCTGAGATCATATACCCAGTTCAAACTAAAAGCTGGAAAATAGGGATTTCCCGAATCAGTAACATTTAAGCCTGCAGCTGATTTAAAATTCCACAGAATACTGTTTTGGGAGCCACGTTAAATTGCTAACTGGTGACATCCCCCTCTCCCACTATCTATGTTGTGAATCAGTATGTCAAGCTCATTGTCAACATACACAACGACAACAACAACAACAAAAACATACACGACAACAATCCTAGCTGGTGGTGGCTTTGTATTTAGAGACTGAAATGAAACCATACAAAATATCTTTAAACTGGGATCCCTGGTGGCGCAGCGGTTTGGCACCTGCCTTTGGCCCAGGGCGCGATCCTGGAGACCCGGGATGGAATCCCACGTCGGGCTCCCGGTGCATGGAGCCTGCTTCTGTCTCTGCCTCTCTCTCTCTGTCTCTGTGTGTGACTATCATAAATAAATAAAAATTTAAAACAAAAACAAAGTATCTTTAAACTATAAAAGTTTCATCATGATCTTATGACATTATAGTTTCAAGAAATAAATGTGGACCTATGTTTTATTGCTCTTAAATATCCTCTGAACCTTCTCTTTATTCCTTAGGGTATAATTTACCTACCTAAATCTTCTAGAATTTTCAAGATTATAAATGCCTTCTTGAAAAATCTAAAAAATGTTAATGGCTAAAGAATAGGACTTTCAAGTAATAAATATAATGTGAAATGAGAAATGTTGATCTATAAACTTGAAGGCCTTCCCTGGTATTTCCCAAATTCAAATATAGCTCCTTTAAGAGCAAAACTTATCACTAGGACTTTCATGTTGGAGGAACTCTTAGAAGGAAGAAATCATTTCCTTAAAACAAATTCTAAGGACTTAAACAGACTTTGGGGGTTGGTGTGTTGAATGGGAGGCAGAAAGGAGCAAATTGCTAATTGCATCATTGAAATGTCACAACTTTGTGTCTTTGCCACTGTGTCCAATTAGACGAAGAAAGGAAGGGTCCACTGGTCTTGGTTTTGAGTCTTGGCCTTCATTTGGTTATATTTTGGGGGAGTATTCCATGTGCTATCTTAAATATGACTACTGAGGTCATGAAACCCTTGATCAAGTTTTTGAGGCAACTTACCCTTCTTCTTACTTGAGTAGTTTTTTTTTTTTTTTTTTAAGTTTTGAACAGCCAATCTAAGCTCCACTGATCTGGAAAAAAAGGAGAACATGGATGGTATCAGCTCAAAGGTATAGAGGCAAATTTATCTTGAATGCTTAGACGTAATTCACTTCTCTTAAGTGCAAGAAAAAGACCATGTTAATCTACATTAGACTTCATGTTGTCTTGATTTCACTACTCATATCATTGAGACAGAAAATTGCTTGTCCCAGATTATTTTGTCTAATTTGTCACAAGAATATTGTTTCCTTAAATTACTTAAAAGCAATCCAGTTAGGGGATTGAACATTCATCAAAAACTTTGTCTTCTGAGTGATACTTAAAACCTGTTTTGAAAGAGCTTTTAAAAAGCCAGTTTAGTTGACTTGATGTATAACTTTTGATATCAAGAACAGAATTGCTATTTTTAGGTAAACAGATTTCTATAACCAGAGTTTGGTGTTTAAGATTCAGAATCATCTTCAACTGCATAAGTGTTGTTGGTTGATTCAGTTTCTGCTTCTGACTGTCTTTAAATTTCAGGCTTAAATGTTCCTATCTGAGCTGTAAACCTTACCTGCTTCCTTTGGAGTCTTTGATAGTGAAACATGGAAGATCACAAAAAGATATTTCCTTTTTTTCTCAACCAAGACAGTTCTTATTACCCTCTGCAGTAAAATCTATACAATTTCATTCATCTAGCCGTGAGATGAGTAAATTCGATTAGTTCTAGAAACATGAGTCAATATGAAGTTCCCAGATGGCATAAGACATGTGGTCTTTATCAAATCCTTCACTCAATGAATGTTCTTGGATTTGCTGCTGCGGGCGCTCTGATTGCGGAGCCTTTGACGGATCAGCAACTTGGGAGTAATCAATGATCCAGTGACTTGATCCATTGGGAAGGTGCTTAACTTGCAAAGAACATGAACACTCTTTTCCCAAGAGACTCATTCATATTTTCTGTCCCTGGAATTAGAGGAAAATGTAGAAACTCAATGTTGTTCATTATAATGGCAGCCATCCAAATTGAGATCCCAGAAAGCACAGACCCATGAAGCAGCAGAGAGCTAGCAGAGCAGTAAATCTGCCCTTCTCTGCTTCTGGTCCTGGGAAAGAGCTCCTTTCCTGAGGAAAACCCCACATTTAGGAATCTTGACGAATTAAAAATCCTGTTCCGTATCTACAACATGTATAGGAAAAACTTACCAAAAAGGTTTCACCTTCTATATTCTGTTCTTTACTCAATAATGTTACACATGTAGGGTGTTTTATTTTTCTTAACATTTAAAGGGATCTAATTAAACCCATGATACACAAAGCACTGATATTGAAAATAATTTGATAGGACAAATAAAGCAAGGGCCTGATTAGCCATCCCGCCACTTCTGTTCCCAGTAGATGTAACCAGCATATTAGGTTTTCAGTGCCATTACCAGATCAGGAAGGGAAAAAGGAAATGGCCAAACTCTGGTGAAAATAGGTTTGCAATCAGTATTCTTACACTGGCTCTGGTGAATCTAGTTTAAAGCTATTCCTGGTAATTCTGACCAGCCTCCTTTTTCCTTCTGACCACCAGTAGGCTGAAGAGTTACTCGTCTGAGGGACTATTTGGTATGGTGTTGCTGATGACATTTAGAGGCTTTTTTTTTTTAAAGGAGGAAAAAGATGAATTTCATACCAGATATTTCACAGGTCTGAGTAATGCAGTGACTTCTCAACTCCTAGACTATGCTTTCTGTTGTATGGTAGAGTCCAATTAGAATTCTAGAAAGCACAAAGGGAAAAGGCAGGCTGAGGAGACAGTGTTTCCATTTGGCAAGAATTGTGCTTCTTTCTTGTGAGAAGATAAAATGCTGTGAGAGAACCATCTGTGTTTTGAAATAGCATTTTACTTCCTCAGCAAAAAATCCACAAAATTGATTAAATATAGCAAGGGTCACCTTCCACAATATATTTTCTTGAAATGTTTATACTATTAATATTTTATTTTTTACTATTAATATACTTAATGAAAGAAGATGTGTAGAAAATGTTTGTTAAATTAGATTCTTGATTCCTCTTTTCATAGACCTGATTTAGGCTATCGAGTTGTCACAGACAAAGGATTTAATTTTTCGCCAGCAGATGAAGCTTTTGTTTGCCAAAAGAAGAACCATTTTCAGATAACCATCCACATCCAAGTTTGGGGAAGTCCAAAATTTGTCAAAACTCAAATGGGCCTAAAGCCAATAGAAATGTTTTACCTGAAAGCTTTTGGGGTTAAGGTAAGTCTTTTATTGTTTTATTGAGCTCAATTTAATTAAACCAACATTTATGAAGTGTTCCAGTTATCTGTTGCTGCATAACAAGCTACCCCCCCCCCAACTTAGCAACTTAAAATAATGACAATCATCTCTTTGGGTCACAGATGTGCAGGTTGGTTAGGGATTGGCTCTGACAGTTCATATCTCTTCAGGAGTCATCAGCTGGGGCAGCTTAGCTGGGCCTGGATTCAATTTCCAATATAGCTCATTTATATATCTGTCAAGTTTGGGTCTGGCCATTGGCCAGGAGCTCAAATGAGACTGTGGCCAGGAGGCCTTGGCTCTTCTTTACATGGATAGGTTGTGGATAGGTTGTGTTTCCTCACAGCATGGTGGATGGGTTCTAAGAATAAATGTTCTAAGACATAGGAAGCGGGAGCTGCCAATTTCTTAAGGCTGAAACTGGCTTGGAAAGAGCATCACTTCAAACTACATTTTGATAGTTTTCACTATATAAATCTTGCACATCTTTTACTAACTGTAATGCTTTATTCTTTTTGATTCATAGTTTTCACCTCATTCTCAAATAGGTCTCTGACTTTAAAAAGCCACAGAACCATTAATCTAGTCAATGTCCCCACTTTTTCAGTTTACCAGAGGGGAGACTGGGTCATGGTAAATTTAGACAATTCATCCAAGATAAGTAAATAAGAGAGCTGAGTTTAGAATGCAGGTGGGATGACTTCTGAATGGCCAACAAGGATTTGTTAACTTTTTACCTCAGATCTAGCATTTAGGGGGAGGAGCATCCATTATCTGCATGTTTTATTCTGATTATTAATCTAATTGCAGGCATTGAGTCTCCCAAAATAGGGCTCGACTGCTGCACACATCAGCTGCTCTTGCTCCAAACTGAGTTCTTAAACCAAACCAAACCAAAAGCAAACACAGATTACAAACAACAACAACAAAATATATTTTTCTGATTATGGAAGTAACCTGAATCCATCATGAAAATTTTGGAATAGAAAACAATAAAGAAGAGAGAAAATTCTTTCATATTTGGGATCCGCCATTTGGTAGTCTAATTTTTCCCATTATTAAAATTAACCTCATATTGTTAATAGTATATTACAAAAATAGCGTATGGTACTATTAAAGATCCTATAAAATATTGTTTCTGAAGATGACATAGTTTCCATTGAATAAATGTACCATTTTCCTACCTTATTTGAAGTCTTTCTTATTTTCAATTCTTTATTATTAATAAAACTTCAGAAACATCCATGAATACCTGTCTTCGCATGAGGATACATTCCAGAATAATTTATACATCAAAGGCATGAACATCATTAAAACTCCTGTTGTATGTTGCCCAACTGCTTTTCAGAAGAATATTATGCTAATACCCACAAGCCATATAGAACAAGGCAGATCTCACCAGACCCTGACCACTACTCATTCATAGCAAGAGGAGTTTTGTAGCAAGTACTGAAAAGCCATTTTCTGTATTTTATTTAATTTCATTGTTTATTGTTATTTCTTCTTACTAGAATGCTAGCTCTGCGAGGGCTGGGGTTTCTGTTAATTTTGTCCACTGCTCACCTCTAATGCCTTGAGCAATGCCTGGTGCATAGCAGGTGCTCAGCAAGGGTCTAGGGAATGAATGAATGGGTGCATGTATCCTTTGAGCTGCCTTGCTCCTGTGTTTTGCTCCTGATGTTTTAATTATCTACAAGTCACACTATATTCAGTGCCCAGAAAACTCAACTGTCTTCTGTTGCCTTCTGTTTTCATTGTTTAGTTTTACATGTATTCGTTTCTTTTCTCACCAATAGCGTACTCCTTAAGGTTGGGGCCATTGTCTTATACATCTTTTCAGTGACTTGTTCCTTCTACTCGGTGCCTATCCTGATGCCTTGGAAAACTTGTAAAGTACTGAAATGTTATTTACTAATGGACTGTTTAAAAAAATAATTTATTTATTCGGTAACTAATTTACTTTCCATTGTTCCACACAGGTAGAAGCCACCAATCAAATAATTGCTATTGAACAATCGCAAGCAGATAGAAGCAAGAAGACTTTCAATCCTGTTAAGTAAGATTTTCTCTTCTGAATTCCTTTGTGAATGTATGGGGGGAAAGACCTATTGCCTAATTTATTTTGTTCATTAAAAATAAATCCTGCTGACCATATGATCTCACTTATATGTGGAATCTAAAAAGATAAACAAATACACCAAAAAAAACAAACAAACAGAAACAGACCTATAAATACAGAGGATAAATGGATGGTTGCCAGAGAGGACGGGTTGGGGCAGGAGTAAAATCAGTGAAGGGGGGTGGGAGGTACAGGCTTCCAGTTATAGAATAAATAAGTCACAGGGATGAAAGGTACAGCATCGGGGATAGAGTCAATGTTATTGGAACAGTGCTGTGTGGTGACAGATGGGACCTGCACTCACAGCCGAAGTAGAGAGTTGTTGAATCATTATGTCTACACCTGAAACTACTGTAACATTATATGTTGACCATACTTCAATAAAAAAAGTAAATAAATAAAATGACTCCCACTGTAGAAACTACATTAGTAATATATTAATATTATGAATACCTGCTTATTAGCAAAAACAAAGATGGTAAAACGCATTGAAATAATTTCAAACAAATTCTTGTAAAAAGTTCCATTTTGAAGTCATCATTATTAGTTTTTTAAAATATTTGTACATGAGAGAGAGAGAGAGAGAGCAGGCATGAGGGGCAGAGGGAGAGGGAGAGAGAATCCCAAACGGCATCCATGCCGAGAGTGGAGTCCAACACAGGGCTCGATCCCAGGACCCAGAGATCACAACCTGTGCTGAAACCAAGAGTCGGACACTTAACCCCCTATGTCTCTCAGGTGCCCCAAGTCATCATTATTTTAATAACCATTTATAGCATCCTTGCTACCTACATGGGTTCCTTGACATAGATTATGGTTAGACCTTTCTTTTAATGTCAGGCTGTGCTTATTTACAACTTATTTTTTCTTATTTTTTAATGCTATGTTGATAGACTGCCTCGTATGTTCCAAGGTAGACAGCATACAGGACTGGCATGACGCAAAGCAATATAACTGTCCAAAAGGAATGTTCATGCTGTGGGCTGACTTGGAGTGGGATTTGCTTTTTGACCGTCTGGCTGGGATGTAGTTGAGACATCTCAGTATTTTGACCATGAGTCAATCCCATCTGGGCTGGAAAGAAGATGATCCTCCTGCCTGGAGGGACTAGGCGGGAGCTCAGCCTGACGCTGAAGCCACATGTCCAAACACAGCCTTGAACTTGCCTGGCACACCTGGTTCTCCCTCGCCAGGGCAGCCTGGGTGTGGTCTCCCTTAGGAGCGGGGCCAGGAGGAGGCCAATATGTGAAGGGGAGGCAAAAACATTCATGAGAAACTTAGGGAAATTGCTTGTCGGGAGGCAAGTGCTCTAGCAACAGTGGCAGAGGTGCAAATGAGACGTCTTACCGCACCCACCGCCCCCCCCCGCCACGGTGCAGTTGAAAGAGCTGATATGTGGAATGGGGAGCACACGGCCCATGAGTCAGAAACTCTGGGCTCGAGCTTCTGCTGAGTGGGCATATGTCACCTTTTTTTTTTTTTTTTAAGATTTTATTTATTTATTCATGAGAGACAGAGGGGGAGAGAGAGAGGCAGGGACACAGGCAGAGGGAGAAGCAGGCTCCATGCAGGGAGCCCGATGTGGGACTTGATCCCTGGACCTGGGGATCATGCCCTGGGCCGAAAGCAGGCGCTTAACCGCCCCCCATATGTCACCTTTTAAGAGTGATTCCCCGGCTGCCATTCCTGACCATGTTGTGGAGAGTTTATTAAAAAGCCAGGGCCTGGGATAGGGTCCCCCGCGGTGTGATGGGGACCGGGGACTGAACGTCCCTGAGAATCTCAGGACCAGTTAGACATGACCAGAGTCCACGTTCTCTCACAGTGTCCCCATATTTCTGCTCTTTTGTTTTAGAATCGACCTGCCGGCCGACCAGGTCACCAAAGTTACACTGGGCCGGTTGCACTTCAGCGAGACTACGGCAAATAACATGAGGAAGAAGGGAAAGCCAAATCCTGACCAGAGGTACTGGCATCCGCGCATAATGGAAAGACTCAAATCTGAAATTTCACACCGCCTTGAGCTGGCTGGGTGACCTTGACGCGTAACTTCCGCCATTCTGCGAAATGGGGACAACGTTTATATCCTTCTCCAGTAGGGCTGTCCGGGGCTTCTAGATGAGATACTGTAGATGAACTGCGTAGCCCAGCGTAGAACCCATTTTGGGGACTCAGATGATGGCTAATAATCATGATGAAAGTAACCATTGTTTTACTTTAGATTCAGGGGAGAACTCTTGTCTGTAAGGGTGAGAGGATCTGTCCAGTTTGCAGAGGAAGGTGGCGAGGCTTAAAGCCAAAGCTTCTCTCATAGGGATAGTTTTATTTTGACTTTCAGGAAACGATCCCATCGTAGGAATGCCTCATCCGTGTTACATACGAAACGGTCATTGGAATAACGATGAAACCTGCACTGGGGGTGATTGGAGGGGAGGAGGGCCCAGGTCTTTGACCAAAGTCATGACTGCAGGGTAGACAGTTGGAGCTGGCCAAGAGCAGGTGCGGTGGGAAGGATCCGCGGTGGCCCTACTGGGACAGTGAACGCAGCCTGGCTGGCTCTGGGCAAAGGGACCTGTCCTGTGGCCACTTGTTGTGAGGCCTGCAGAACGGCTCACCTCGGAACAAGCGGAGGGTGGGCCCAGAACCATACCAAGGGGATCAGCTGCTCTCCCTCCCATAGCAGGGGCAACTTGGAGCAGAATAGAAAATCATTCAGTGCACACACCCATCTAGGTGGATTCCCCATTGGTTGACAAGGGTTGGGGGGTGTTTGATGGCCCGGCTCATGTCTCTGTTTCCTGGTGTGCTGATCGCTGGTTTTGAATCAGATACTTCATGTTGGTGGTCGGACTGTATGCTGCGAACGGAGACCAGTTCTATCTATTGTCTGCCCACGTCTCTGAACGGATCATTGTGAGGGTAAGGTTCAGTTCCCGTGCTCTCCTGGGTCCCACCTGCTTTTCTCCTCGCAAGTAGAATTTGCATTTCCCCTGGCATGCTGGGCATGTGCTGTTTTGCAACTGACAAGGTTAGTAATAGCAGGTGTTATCATTTTAGGTTTCACATAATGGTTCCCAACCAGAAGAACTTTTGTCCCCTGCTCCCCCCGCCCCCCAAAGGTCGTCTGGCAATGTCTGCAAGCAGTTTGGGTTGTCACAACTGGGGGATGCTACTGGCCTCTAGGGGTACAGGCTGGGGGTGCGGTTCCGTCCCTTGAATGGACAAGATAGGCCCCCGCAGCAAAGAATGACCCCTTCCACCATGTCAGCAGTGCTCCCGTTGAGACGCTCTGGTTAAGCACTTGAGAAACTCCGTTCCAGGCACTGGGCCTGGTAAGTCATGTACGACGTCACTTCACCTCGTGGCACCTTTACATCACCTTCTTCACATGCAGAGGAGCCGAGGTTCAGGAGGGCAAGAAATTCATCATCTTGCACAGTTTGCAAAAGGGGAGCTTGGGTTACAACCTCCCAGAGCCCATGGTGTGGGGAAAGTAGTAAGAGTGACCGGTGCCCCAAGGAACCCCTGGGCCCCTACCTACCAACAGCGATGGTTCCGCACGTTCTGCTGAATGACTGATCGGTCACAGCTGTGGATGTGAAGCTTGGCAGCCGCAAAGGCCCAGAGCTGTTGGCAGCTGGAGCTGCAGCTGTGTGAGGCCAGGCTGGCCACCGCGGACAATACCGGGGCCATCAGATAACAGGTCACCACGGGCCCGGCAGCGGGAGGAGCTGGGCTGTGACACGGGGAGGACATGTAAGGGCCAGGAGAAACCGTTCGGTACGGGCCTGCCCACGTATGTGGCTGTTGCTCCTGGGCCTGGGGGCAAGATCTGCCCATCTGGGGACACGAGTCTTTCCTTTCTTGCGCTCAGCTATTCTGAAACAAAGGGTGCTCTGTGTAAATTCCTTTAATCAATTAAAAGTAATAAGCCACTTCTACGTGGAAATCCTTAAACCGCATCTCAAAGTTTCAATGGAAGTGAAGTAACGATGGAAATAAGGTAAAACATTTGGGTTTAGATGTCCCAGGTCAGGCCTAGCCTGTGTCCCTGCGCATTTCTGTGGGGCTTGATCTAACCTGTGGCAAACAAGGGAGGGAAGGCAGGGGAAGGGGGGGCCTCTTCCACGGCCAGGGGCCAAGGGAAGGGGTTCTCCATCTCCCGGCAGGGTTTCACGGGGTCCTGACGATGCCGTCTGCATTGCTTTGCTGCACTGACGAATGAGATCTGAAGTGAAGTCTGCAAACCTGGGGCACTCATTCTTTCTGGGTTTTCCTAAGGAGGAATAAAGACAGACAATGCTGTTTTTTTCGGAGCTGGCAGAGGTCAGACGTTATGCAAGGGCTGCTCTGAGCTGGGAGGCTCATGCTTGAGTCCGTAGCCTGCTGGTCACCTGCAGACCTTGAATACTTTACCTGGTGTCTGGTTCCCCCATTTCCTGCTGGCAGCTGTGTTCTCTGGCTCCTGCAGAGTCCACACAGCAGCTGCAGGAGAGAGCGCTCTCCTGTCTAATACTCCGTTACCAGAACCCGAGAACTGGTGCCTCCTCCTACCCAAAACTCAGTGATAATTTAACTCATGATCACATTGAAAAGTTGAGTGTCTCTGCAATTCACATTCAGTACAAATACTAAAAACCATTAAATTATGCTTAATATAGATTGGTTGTCATATTTTTCACTAAACTTTTATTTGTAGTAAGTGATTGTATTCCAGATTTGATTGCTTTCTTCTAGCCGTAAGTTTTGGTGAAAGAGAAGGCCCTATTCTAGAAGTGTGCTGGGTAGTACAAGGCTTACTCTAGTAATAATGAGACGGAGGAGAATGGTAATAGTACAAACCATTCTCCCCCCCGCCCCCAAACTAGAAATATCTTACTGATACTATTTCGTTCTAACTCCAATTGCAGAAGTGAAAATGAATGTCTTTTTGAATCTGTTTAATTGTTTAATGTTTAAGCCAACCGAGGATGGGACGCCTGGGTGGTTCAGCGGTTGAGCATCTGCCTTTGGCCCAGGACGTGATCCTGGGGTCCTGGGATCGAGTCCCTCATCGGGCTCCCTGCATGGAGCCTGCTTCTCCCTCTGCCTGTGTCTCTGCCTCTCTGTGTCTCTCAGGAATGAATGAAATCTTTAAAAAAATAAAAATAAAAAATAAAAAAAAACAACTGGGGCGGGGGGGGAGGGCGGAACGCTGAACTTCAGAAGTGGTGATGTTGGGTGAATCCATGAGTTTTTGACTTGTTCACAGAACACATTACCTATAGGATTGAATGGTTAGCCTTGAATGGTTAGACCTATGGTCAGACCGAGTGTAGACCAGCTCGCATCCTCTGAAAAAGCCAGGTGTGCCCTCTCAGGCCATGTCCTGGGTGTGTTGGTTTGAACTGCGGGATAATGAGAGTAAAATTTGACAACTGAACGTGTTTTAGGAGCAGACTCCATTATATGGAGAACTGCAAAGTACATTGAGCAGGTTCATTTGCTTCATTCATTCATTCAACTCAATCTGTTCATTTTGAGGCCGAAGAATCGTCCTTCCCAAGAGCAGAGATTAATACAAGGACGCATGTGAGAGGCGTGGACTAGACGAGGTTTAGGCCTCCGGGGGCTTCAGGAGACCGAGCCCGTCAGATTTCTCCTTGGAGAGAGAACGGTGGGCAAGACCCAGTAAGGGCTCATCTGGCTTGTCAACCAAACAGCCTCCTGTAGTGTAAATTGCCCAATTTCATGGAAATTAAGGTTTACTCCGAAGACAGATTTATTTCCCAGGTCTTCTGTTTTTGGGGAGCACTCTGCCATGGGGTTCCTTCAGATTCCCCTGGTTAATGACTAGGTTTTCATTCAGCTCCCCTTTCCTTCTAAGACACGTAATTAAACCTGGTTTGGAGCGCTGCGTGGTAAGCAGGAGGGATGGTTACTTTTGTCTGCCTTTCAAAGACGTGCCGGGGTTTCCTAGTTCTGAAAACGAATACATTATTCCAGTTTCTTTTCCAGAAGAATAAAAAAGCATATGTCTCCCCAAAATGCCTCTTTACTGCCCCGCAAACTGCCCTGTCTTCAGATGAGAGACCAACAAACAAGGGCAGGGAAAACAAATGAAATAATGCAGCTGTAAGGATGGTGAGGGCGCCTGGTGGCTCCGTTGGTTGAACGTCTGCCTTGGGCTCAGGTCATGATCCTGGGGTCCCGGGATCGAGTCCTGCGTTGGGCTCCCTGCTCAGCGAGGAGTCTGCTTCTCCTCCCCCTCCCCCTGCTTGTGCTCTCTCTCTCTCTTGCTCACTTTCTCTTGTTCTCTCTCTCTCTCTCAAATAAATAAATAAAATCTTAAAGAAAAAAAAAAGGATGATGAGGGGTGGGTGTAAGAGCAGAGCCATGTGAGGGTCCGCTCCCTTTCCTCCCCAAAACACACACACACACACACACACATGCACGTGCACACCCGACTTCTGGAGTTCACATGAATTTTTGCTTACCCAAAGGAATCAGTATGTGGAGCAAATGTCCATTCCACCCTGTGGGTGGAATTCATGTGTGGGAATACACATAGGGCATTGAATTAAAGCAAGTCTTTGGGGATCCCTGGGGCTCAGTGGTTGAGCGCCTGCCTTCGGCTCAGGTTGTGACCCCGGGGTCCCAGGATCGAATCCCACGTTGGGCTCCCTGCATGGAGCCTGCTTCCCCCTCTGCCTGTGTCTCTGCCTCTCTCTGTGTGTCTTTCATGAATAAATAAATAAAATCTTAAAAAAAAAAAAAGAAAGACATTTCCAGGAGATGCCAATGTTGCTGACCTTCAGATCACATCTTGAGTAGCATCTCTAGGCCCATTTTCCAAAGCCCTTTCGAAAGGAACAAAAATGTATTTGTTATGAACTGCCTTTCTCAACTCAGGCTTTCCTATCATGCTCTCTGGCTGCTGCTTTTGAAGCCCAAACGATGGTAAAGCAGAGAAATTCCATCTTTCCCTTCCAAACTCAGGGTGGCCTCAAAGGACTATTAATTGCTGTGTCCTAATCCGAGCACCTGCAGAGGGCACCATTTACATTTATTCGGTGAGTGGAGCTCCCTCAGAATCGGGCAACTGTGCAGTGTGTTGCTGAGGAGAGCAGATTAAATGATTACAGGCGTATTTTGGAGACGGTGCAGGTTCAGTTCCAGGCCACCGTGGTAAAGTGAGTCAAATGAAGATTTTGGTTTCCTGGTGCACATGAAAGTTAGGTTTACACTCTACCATAGTCGACTAAGTGAATCAGAGCATTATGTCTTCAAAAACAATGTACATACCTTCATCAAAACCTATATATATAGGGGATCCCCGGGGGGCTCAGCGGTTTAGCGCCTGCCTTCAGCTCAGGGCATGATCCTGGGGTCCCGGGATCGAGTCCCGCATCGGGCTCCCTGCATGGAGCCTGCTTCTCCCTCTGCCTGAGTCTCTGCCTCTCTCTCTCTCTCTCTCTGTGTGTGTCCCTCATGAATAAATAAATAAAATCTTTTAATAAAAAGATTTATATATTTTAATATATTATATATATTTTTTTTTTCTAAAAAATGCTAGCAGTAGTCTGAACTTTCAGAGAATAATACAATCTTTCAGAGAGGGCGGAAGGTCCTGTGTCAGTGTTAGTGGCTGCTAGCAGATAAGGGGTGGCTGCTGAGGGTTGGGGTGGCTGTGGCAATATCTTAAAATAAGACAAGAGTGAAGTTTGCCCCATTGGTGGACTCTTCCTTTTAGAAATGGTTTCTTTTTTAGTGTGAGATGCTGTTTGTTAGCATTTTACCCACAGTAGAACTTCTTCCAAAATTGGGAGTCAATCCTCTGAACCCCTGATAATGTTTTATCAACTAATTTTATGTAATATTCCAAATCCTTTGCTGTCCCTGCCACAGTCTTCACAGAATCTTTAACAGGAGTAGATTCC